TCGGATTGCACTAACGGTTTGGAAAGGTGAAACGGTATTATTTCGGAAATGGGGAGCGACATTGCATGGCATGGAATTTCATTAGCATATATTGCACACTTGGTAGTCGGATGACTTGTATACGTACTTGTTGATGTTATTATTGTTTTACTTGCTTCCCGAGGCATGATCCCGTTCACTTTTACTCTATTCTTATGTGGATTCACAAGGTCCTAAGAGGTGTGTCATAGACACTTCCTACTGAGCGGTTGGCTCACCCCATTTTATTATTAACATTTTTCAAGATACGGAAAGGAAGTGGCGGACGATGCTCCTCCATTGGTTTTGATGGGTTAGTGGACTGTTTGGACATACTTTGTAGCTATGATCTCATTTTATTATTATTATTTATTTATTTATTTATTTTCTTAGTTGAGACTCACACACACGGCCTCCACTGAGGTTTGAACCTCTGACCTCCCTTTGGAAAGTAGGAGCTTTGTACCACTAGGCCACAGGCCACAGGCCTGTTGGTTTATTATTATTATTATTTTTTATAAACCCTAGGATGACACGTATATTATGTATTAACATAGGAAAGGACGTTAGTGTCCTTAGTTGACCTTGGGTTCGGGTAAGGACCCGGTTAGCGATTCGGATCCTTGGGTTCGGGTCGTTACAGTTACAGAGTTTCGATTTGGGAAGAGGTATTGCCACAACTTGTTCCCACAACAGAAAGCTTAGAAGGCAATGATGGGGCTCATCTTATGACAGAGGAAGAGTGGTTCCAGATTCTTAGTTAAGGAGAGAAAAGGGGTGATTGAAATTCAAGAATGGTTAAAGGAAAGGGAGAGACAGAGAGCAGTGAGATGTGTGGGAGGAAGACGATGGGGGAGTCACGCGCCAGACAGGAGCGTTCGGAAGGAGTGGAGTAAGGATCCACTTGGAGAGTGTAGAGGAGCTTAACCAGATCGCATGCCCTTATCTTCAGCTGATGGGGTTGGGGATAAGGTTAGGTGGGCACGTGACCAAGATGCCATCTTCAAATGGGCTGGGGAAGGTGGTGGTTTGGGCCAGAGGTTGGTAGGGCAGGCTCAAGCTGAGCCCATGGTGAGAAGGAAGTTTGGGTTGAGGCCATCCAATGGGTGGACGGGCTAGGTGAGGGATGGAGAGAGGTACAGAGATGGGCTTACTCATGTGGGCCGAAAAAGAAGTTTGAATGATATGGGCTAGCTGTATGGGCCAAGGTTTGGGGGAGTGGGGGTGAAGTCAGATGGGCTACCTGGGGTTAATGAGTGTGGGCCTGTGGGGAGGTTCGTAGTGACGGGCTTGTTTGGAAAGGGGTGGCATTCATTATCAGTACTTTTTCAGTTTGAGGAAGATGGTTCGAAGTGGCGTTTTTCGGGAGTATATGGGCCTGTAGGTGATGTGGAGTGTAGAGAGATGTGGGAGGAACCGGGTACCATTAGAAGCAGATGGGGGGGTCCATGGTGTGTTGGGGGGGATTTTAATGCTGTCTTTAACACGAGTGAGAGATCTTCTAGGGGTGCGTGGGATGGAGCAATGGCTGACTTTTCTGAGTTTGTGGAAGCTAACAGGTTGTTGGATCTTCCCATGGTGGGAGGCGCATTTACATGGTCGAGTGGGCCGGATCCTCCTTTTTCTAGGCTGCATAGATTTCTAATTTCAGTGAAGATGGAGGAGAAATTTCCGGATGTGTCACAAGTGGCGTGTGTGCGGGCAATCTCTGATCATATTCCTATTTTGCTTGATTGTGGAGGGATTAGAGAGGTAAAACCCCTTTTAGATTTGAAAACATGTGGCTACGAGTGGATGACTTCAAACAAAGGGTTATGAACTGGTGGAGTGCTGATGATGTTAGAGGTAATCCAAGCTTTCAATTGGCAACTAAACTGAGATACTTAAAGGGAGGCATTAAGGTTTGGAACAAGGATGTGTTTGGTAAGTTGGAGTGGAGGAAAAATCAGCTACTTTTGGAAATTTCAGAGTTGGGTTGGAAGGAAGGTGCTGAGGGGATTTCAGTGTTGGAAAGGAGTAGAAGGGAGGAGTGCAAGGCTGAGTTTGAAGAGATTGCAGTGATGGAGGAAGTTTCATTGAGACAGAAGTCGAGAGCCCTGTGGCTTAAAGAAGGTGACTGAAATACTCAGTTTTTTTTACCGATTAGCTCATACTCATAGAAGAGGGAACAGCATTGGGAGGATAAGTTTTGATGGTGTCATGGCTGAAACTGAAGAGGAGATCCGGATAGGGTTTGTGGCATTTTATTAGGCGCTGTTCACAGAGTCTGTCTCTTGGAGGCCGGGGTAGGATGATATTGAGTTTGATACAATTTCTGATAAGGATAGAGTGGGTTTGGAGAGGCCGTTTGGGGAGTAGGAAGTGCTGGAAGCTCTTAGGAGCTGTGACGGAGATAAAGCTCCAGGGCCGGATGGGTTTACAATTGCGTTCTTCCAAAAGAATTGGGAGGTGGTGAGAGCAGATGTGATGAGAGTAATGCATGCTTTTTTCGAGGAATGTTGTTTTGAGAAGAGTTTGAATGCCACTTTCATTACTCTTATACCTAAGAAGGGTGGAGCGATTGAAGCTAAGGATTTCAGACCAATTAGTTTGGTGGGCTCTGTTTATAAGATTATTGCGAAGATTCTGGCTATTAGGTTAAGTGTTGGATGGGCATTTCGGAGTCTCAAAATGCGTTTGTTAGAGGAAGGCAAATTCTCAACCCGGTTCTTATTGCTAGTGAATGTATTGATACAAGAGTCAACAGTGGTGATCCAGGGATTGTGTGTAAATTGGGCATAAAAAAAGCATATGACCATGTGAATTGGGTTTTCTTATTGTATGTGTTGGAGAGGATGGGGTTTGGAACCAAATGGAGGGGGTGGATTCATCAATGTATTTCGACGGCTCGGTTTTCTATCTTAGTGAATGGGTCACCGGCAGGCTTCTTTACAAGTTCAAGAGGTTTATTGTAATGGAAGCCTTTAGTAGACTCATGAAAAGGGCAGACATACTGGGCTTTATTCAAGGTTTTTCGGTGGGGCGTGTGCTAAATCAGATTGTTACATCTCACTTGCTGTTTGCTGACGACACTATTGTTTTTTGTGATGCGAGTGTTACTCAAGTGAGACACTTGAGGTGTGTTTTGGCCTGTTTTCAAGTGGTTTTGGGGCTGAAGATTAATATTAGTAAGAGCGTGATGGTTTCAGTAGGGGATGTGGATCATATTCATGAGTTGGCAGCTATTTTGGGTTGCGGAGTGGAGGCTTTTCCATTTTCTTATTTGGGGCTGCCATTGGGTGCTTCCACGAGGAGAGTTGCCATTTGGGATCCAGTGGTGGAACGTTTTCATAAGAGATTATTTGGGTGGAAGAAGCAATACTTGTCGAAAGGGGGTAAACTTACATTGCTGAAGAGTACCCTTTCTAATCTACCTACATATTTCATGTCTTTGTTTCCAATCCATAGAACAATGATTAGTAGACTTAATAAGATTCAGGGGAACTTTTTGTGGGGGGGTGTAGGGGAGGAGTTTAAGTACCACCTTGTGAAATGGGAGAAAGTGTGCACCCCGATACAAAGAGGAGGCTTGGGGCTTCGCAGGTTGGAAATGTTTAACAAAGCTCTGTTAGGGAAATGGCTATGGAGATTTGGGTGCGAAAGGTCCGTGCTTTGGAGGCGTGTGATTGCTTGTCGGTTTGGGGAAGAGGAGGGAGGTTGGATGTCTAGAGGTGTGTCTTCATCAGCAGGTATGGGTTCATGGAAAGGTATTAGGAGGGGTTGGGAACTTGGGATGACTTCTCTAAGCGGATACGGTTTAGAGTTAGGAATGGTCGTTATGTGAGGTTTTGGACGGGTGTTTGGTGTGGGGAAGTGGTGTTGGCTTGTAGATTTCCTAGACTCTTTAGGATGGTTGAGGAGAAGCATGCGGTGGTGGCAGATTATTTTAGGCTAGAGAATGGGAGAGCTAGTTGGGATGTGAAATTTCGTAGAAATTTTAATGATTGGGAGTTGTTGTAGTTTACCGATTTAATGGGATTAATTTATAGTCAAGTGGTGGAGGGGGAAGGAAGGGATGAGATGGTGTGGATGGGGGATTCTAGAGGGGTGTTTAAGGTGAGGCTGTTTTATCAAAGTCTTACGAATTCGATAAGCAACGGTTTCCCTGGAAGGCTGTATGAAGGACTTCAGCTCCTCTGAAGGTGGCTTTTTTCACATGGACAGCAGTACTTGGCAGCATTATTACTCTTGACAATGTCAGAAAAAGATGCCAAATTACAGTTAATTGTTGTTGTATGTGTAAGAAGGCGGGAGAGTCGGTTAATCATCTATTGCTGCACTGTAAAGTGGCAGCAGATGTTTGGAGTTTGGTCCTGAATGTTTTAGGGGTAGACTGGGTGGTGTCAAGTAACACGATGGATGTGTTAAGAGGCTTGGCGAGGGAGACAAGTGGGAAGTTGGGTTAGGAAGGCGTGGAGGGTTCCACCGCTTTGTATTTGGTGGGGGTTGTGGCACGAGCGGAACAGGAGATCTTTCGAGGGAAAGGAGTCGCCGGTGTAGGTTATTAAGGCGAATATTTTGCATTCTCTTTGTTCTTGGGTTAATGGGAAAAATTGTCCATCTATAGATAGCTTTTTGGATTTTGTTGACAACTTATCATCATTGTAATGGCACATTTTGCGTATTTTGTTTGCTTTGTTAAGGGTTCGCTCCCCTCTGAGCGCTTTTGTTAATATATTTTTACTTATCAAAAATAATAATAATAATAATAATAATATTGTGGACATGATTTATTGGAATTTTTTTGTCAATTGATGAAATTCTTATTTGGATTTATTTTAGGTGGTTATTGATGTTGGAATAGAGCACCAAGTTTAGGTACATAGACTAGATGTTTCACTGTTTAAATTGGGGGTGTGACATCTTGTGTATTGGGCAATACATTACAAATAAGCAATCAGAAACTACCATAAAAAAGTTCTATTAATATTTAGAAAATAAACCTGGACTGCAAACTGTCCAGTCCCTCCTGCAGCAGCAGTGACGAGGACTACTTCTCCAGAAACCATTTGTGCTGCCTACAAGTTCCCAAAAAACCACGTTGTCAACCAACTATTATGTCCGATTGACACAGCATTTATGAAGCATATAGTGGAAAAAGCCAGATTTTTGTTGATAATAATGAAAGAGTCAAGATCAGAAAATACCACAACTGACAATATCTTGAACAAGTCCGATTTCTTTTAAAAAAAGTAATAAACCTTTTCTAGGGCAATTGATGCAGTAAGTCCAGATGTAAGCATGGCAACAACTTCAGGATCTGGTCTGGCAACAGGAAGTATGTGCTTTGAGGGAACCTAAATTATACAAAAGCCATAATAGATAAATTTAATAGTCCAGTGAATTATGATTAACTAGCAAATGGATATTGTGAACAAGGAAAATAAAAAGACAAAGCAAACTTTGTAAAAGACAAGAACCAGTATTTTTTATGTAGTGTACCATCGTGAATTCAGCATAACTTCCGAAAGTCATTAGTGCAACAGGAGTTCCAACTTTCAAGTTATCAACAGAATCGCCCACTGAAGCAATAATTCCAACAGCCTGAAATATAAGGAGAATGATTTAATGGGCAGAAAAAAGAAAAAAAAAAAAGAAAAGAAAAGAAAAAAAAACAGAGAGAGAGAGGGAGAGAGAAATTAATAATGATCACGAGAATTGATAAAATATAGTTCACCCGAATATTACAAAAATCATTTCAACTGAAATGTAAGAAAATATTCTGCACTAAAATTGCACACTAGTGCAAAAAATTATCAAAATTGCAAGTCGAACAAACTGCCCTGAAACTCATGTACTTTAAGTAGGCTTCTGACAAACATTTAAAAGTTCCAGAAGCAATGCTGATCAAAAGTTCACCATATGGTGACTACAGAATGCAAGATTAACTACAAATTTCTACAAGTAATATCCGCATCATGACACCATGTCACTCAAATTAGTATTTTCTCCTCACCTCGAAACCAGCATCAAATGGAAGAAGGGAGCCAAGGTCTTTGTTGTTGCCACTGAAATAACGTCCCGAACTAAAATTTACCTGTGCACAAAATGCTCATTATAGTAAACATTTTAAACTGAGAACAAATATGCTGGTCACCCTAGGAAGATGTTAATTCTTTCCGCTTGGATCACAAACCAATCTAGGTTGACCAGGCAATGGAAGCTCACGTCAGTAACAAAATGGTAAAAATATGCAAGGACAGATGCATGCAAAAATTTTGCACATAAAAAACAATTAATGAAAAAAGATAAATAAATAAAAAAGAAATACATGAACTTTGGGATCCTTTCTAATTCCATATTCTTCCCCCCAATTTATTTTCTCAAATTAGTTGCTATTTCTGCACATTCAGACTTTCCTCATCAAAAATTTAAAAATAAGTAAATAAACATTCACCTTCCTGCTGAGCTTTAAAGACTTCATAATCAAGTTGTCAATGCAACAATGTAAGCCGTGTGGTCAAAATGATTTTTATTTTATATTCATAGGTGGCTAGCTATAGTTGAGCCAAAAAAAATACGAGGGGATAAAGAGGAAGAGGGAGATATAACCAAGAAATGGGCTGCTTCAAGTTCAGACAATTATCTATAACAATGCAAAAGGCATACATTTCACCTCCAAATGGGAATCATTTCAACTCTTTTTGTGGTGGAGGTACCCAAAAGTAGGGAGAAAAATTGAATTCCATTAAACAGCTAGCAGCTTAAATATAAATTTGACTTCATTGAGAATCATATCAAAAATAGGAACTAAGAGTAACTTTAAATTAAATTCTGTTGAAGATTTACTGTTATTGGAGGAATCAGTGGAGGAAAATCCTCCAGTATTGATGTTGTTTCTTATTATTGAAGATTTATTGTTACTCGAGGAATTAGTGGAGAAAAATCTCACAGTATTGATGTTGTTTCCTATTTTCTCTCTTCCATTCTCATCACTTATTCTCCTATATAGAGAGAGTATAATAAAAGTGATGTAGCCATTTGGGTTTTGTGTGCCGTGGATGTAAGCCCTAGTGGTTGATCCACGTACGTCCTTGATTTGTGTTCTTCATACTTTATTTCTTTATTCAATTTTTAAATGGTATCAACGCAGGTTTATCATACCCTACTCTATACTCTACTCATCTCGAATCTTCGGATCAATTTGTCTCGGATCAACCCGTCTCAAATCTCCAAATCAACTCGTCTTGGATCTTTGAATAAACTGGTTTCATACTCTCGACAACTTCATATTTAGTTTCAAGTTGGATACTTGAGTTAAAATCTCCGTGTACCAACTTGAGGGGGGTGTTGGAGAATATCATAGGAGTGATTATAGCTTATGATAGAATATTGATTAGAGCAATTTATGGGATTGATTTTAGGAATCCTCCATCAATGTATTTTCCATATTTATCAATTGTATTCTTATAAATAGAGGTGCTAATTGTAAAAAAATATTAAGAGAGAATATAAAAAAAAATGATTTAGCCCTTTGGGCTTTGTGCGTTGTGTTCTTCATGTTTAATTTCTCTCTTCAATTTTTATTTCTTTCAACATGGTATCAGAGCAAGCAAGGTTTTGTGTTCATTTCTCTTTTCATCATAGCCATTTTTGGTTCTTGTCTTCGAATCCATTAATTTTACTGAGGTCGTCTTCTTACACATCTTCATCAATTGAGGCTACTGCTACTAGTCTTGAATCTTTGGATCCATTTTTATTGAGGTCATCTTATTGTACCTCTTCATCATTTGCACTTGCTGCTACTCGTCATCTCAGTGGCAAGTTGGGCATTTATGCCATTCATGCTCCAACTTGAGGGGGAGTGTTGAAGATTTACTGTTATTGGAGAAATCAGTGAAGGAAAATCCTCCAGTATTGATGTTGTTTCCTATTATTGAAGATTTATTGTTACCGGAGGAATTAGTGGAGAAAAATCTTCCAGTATTGATGTTGTTTCCTATTATTGAAGATTTATTGTTACTAGAGGAATTAGCGAAGAAAAATCTTTAGTATCGATGTCATTTCCTATTTTCTATCTCTTTCCATTCTCATCACTTCGTCTCCTATATAGAGGAGCCTCCACCATCGTATTGAGTAAAAAAAAAAAAGAGGGTATAATAAAAGTGATGTAGCCCTTTGGTCTTTGGGTGTCATTGATGTAAACCCTATTGGCTGAACCACGTATATCCTTGCCTCGCGTCCTTCATACTTTATTTCTTTATTCAATTTTAACAAATTCAAATTTCCTATAAGTTAAAAGTAACTTTATGGAGAAAGAATACAGTACAACCCCTCTAACTACCATCTACCTTGCACATAGGCAATCAAAAGGCCCCCCAATTACAATTGATTAATAAGAATGGGTTGTTCTGCACATACTTAAGGGTCCACATTGCTGTGGCTAGGATATCTATTCTGTCACTCAGTCAATCATCCAGCTACACCACTCAATTTAATCTAGTTTTATGCGGTTGATCAAAAAACAATACATTTTTTGAGATATTCAAGATACACGAAAGTGAACAAGATGTATGCAAATTCCAACAATCTATATTACTTCCAACAATAGAAAGAAATGAAAATCAATTCCAAGGGGAGCAACAAACTTACATCACTAGCATTAACACCAGCGTAAATGATCTTCACAAGGACATGATCTGGTTTAATTGGTAATCTCAATGGCATGCGCACTATGCTGGTAGCACTGCGGAACTTATGACTCATGGTGTGAACAACTCTAGTAAACAAAAATCAGTGTCAAGAAACATATTGGGACAATCAATTGACTTCTGAATAAACATGAACAATTGACAAGAGTAAATGCATTAAGTAGAAGAAGAAGCTGGCATAGATGCGTTCTTAAAAAATGATTGGGGTAGTTTCATGGGAATGAATAAATATGGAGAAAGTGAACAGGAGAAAAGGGAAGTATATGCTGAAGAAAAATATATTAGCTATGTATACAGCAAGACAGTGTAGCTTAGAATGAGTATTTTAAGAGCTTGTCGCAAAACTGACAGTGTAATGAACCATAAATCAGGGAAATGTAAACTGTTCACAAATTCTGGCTCCAATTCTCACTAAAAACAAATTTTATTTTTAAAAAAACAAAATTATCAAATTACTATTTTATTAAACAATAAAAACCTCCCAATCGAAAAGAAATTAGTGAAGCAAAAATCCAGAAACATATTGTGAAGTTGTGGCCTGATTTGGTGTCGGGCGACCCATTTTTGACTCGACGACTCGGAAAATTTTTGACCCATTTTTTCTTATAGGTCGTGGACCCTGTTTAGCACTCTCTTGTAGTCCGATATATAGAGGGCGTTTAGGGTTTGGAGTGGGATATTGAAATACCGAAAATAGCAGAAAAGAGAGTGAAAGCAAGAGCTAGGGTTTGGGGGCTGAAACTTGTAATCTCCAGATTTTCGCATAGTGAATTCTGGATCTTCACCGTTGACGTAGGCTTTGCCGAACTAAGTAAATCTTAGTGTTCTTTGTGTGTGGCATGTTTATTTTCTGTCGTGTTTCTTGATTGTTTCTCGGGCTAGCTCCATTTGTCATAACACATATCATTCAATTAGCTAACTCAACTAGAAGTATATCATTTGGTAGCAAGACATAATTAGTTATCTTTTACCTTCTCTTAGAGGTGAAATTTGATCAAACAGAACTTAAAGTAAGAGGCCAGGAGCCCCATGACGAGGTCATGGGATACGCAGAGAATTTTTTTATTTAAAAATAAATAAATAAATACATAAAAACTACTAAGAAGGGATAATAATTCTACAGTTGTTACACCATCTATTCCTATATGCTTTTAAAGCTGAAGAACCAAGAACCCAGCCCAATTATCTATTTCACTGTCAAATATTCTATTTTTACAATGTCACAAACTAGATCTAAAAGGGCATAAATACATCTTGTTAACAAATTTAACGGTGCAAAATAAACTACTAGATAGCATGTAATGAACAAAGTAAAAGATGCAATCACATCAAATAACACAACGATTTACATGGAATAGAAACACAGGACCATAGGCCAGGCAAATTCGATCAACTATAGAACAAGATATTTATGTTGATTATTTTAGTGTAAATATGCTGGAAAATTTCATTCCAAACCTTTCGAGTTGTATATTTTTATTTTTGAGTGAACGCGTTTGAAGGATGATGATACTCAAGTCAACTCAAGCCCAGCTGAATGAAGCCACACACTCAGGTAAAAGGTAATTATGTGTGTGAGGAAACAAAAATCTTTTTTGAGCTTATATATTCATTTTTCGAAGGGTTTCAAAAAACTTTGTTTGGTTAAAAGCTGATATTTTTATTGTTTTATAAAACTGGACAGAGAGTTCAATTTGCTGATATATTGGTTTATATAGACAGGTACTTAAGTCTAGTAGCCCCTATGCACCAGCACATCAGGAGGCAGCAAGCACAATATAATGGCACATTGGTCGTATGCACCAGTGCTTTGAGTTCGAAATTGTGTTGAACTTATAGTCTCAGGTCAAGTTAAATTTGGATTGCTATAGAACTTTGGGAAACGTGTTCCAATGATTTCTAAAGTCTTTTTCAATCAGAATTGACTCTCAGAAACCTATATGAACTTGTTTTTCAATATTGATGAATGAGAGTTGCATTTATTGAATACAAACAATATTTTTGAGAAAAAGTTGTTTCTCTTTAGCATTGTGCTATTTCACTCTCTTTCACACAGTGCTAAATTGTGTGTGAATTTTCATCAGATCGTAGCCATTACGCAAAATTCAGATTCATCATTTCATCAGAATCAATAGAAAACATTCACTAAAGAACAGATTGCTTTTAAGTCCACTAATGAAGGGGATCATAACATGATTGTGTTTGCATTGGAGTTGGAGAGCACTGAGCATTGGAGATAAAGCAATGGGAAGTGCTTTTGAAAGTACTGGGGTAAGAAACTTGAAACGTTCTGAAAGTAACTGCAATCCGTTGTACTCTTTTAACATCTTTCTATTTTTACTGTAATTGTTTTTATTTGCTTGATTGTGTGATTGATTAACAAAGGACTGAATAGATTAATTAAAATCAAGCAACTGAGCAAAAAGGACCAATTCATCCCCTCCCCCCCTCAGTCATTCAGAACAAGAATCTAATATGGTTTAAAATCATCTTCTACAAGTGCGCCACTCTCAATATAACCCTATGTATCATACTTTAAAACTCATATAACCACACAATTACCTCTGATCTAAACTCATGCTAGACATTCTATCTCAAACTCTATTGTCGTGATTAACGAAGTGGTTCACTAACACAATCCGGTTCTCAAACCATGATAAAACTACATTTCTAGCTGTCCTTCCAGGTTGCTGCTGTCTGATTTAAGTTTGATGAATATTGAAGATGAAAAGCAGCTCCAAAATTATTGCGCAACCATATGCAAAAAGTATGTTGAATAAAATGATGTATGCACTAAAAAAGATTTTTAACCCTGAAACACACAATGTGCATGCGTACACATATATATACATTATTCCAACTAAAGATTTAAAAAGAATTAGGCTGTTCTGGTTTTTTTTTTTTTTTTGATAAGTAAGATTTTATTAAAAACGCTCAAAAGGGGAGCGGAACCCAAAGAAACAAAAGGGCCAAAGGGCGCTTTAGACCTTCAGAGAGGCCAAAAAAATAATAATCTCCTCCGTAGATCTATAATCTCTCCCTGAAACCCAACAAAAAAGAGTAGAAATAACAGAGAACTTAAGCATAGAAACAAGCTTCTTTTTTCCATCAAAATATCTCCTATTTCTCTCGAGCCAAATACACCACCAAATACAAAGCGGCGTAGCCCTCCAAGCATCACGAATGGAAGCCCCCACAAAGACGCCTCTCCACTGGAGATTGGTGATAGCAATCCCTCTAAATTGGAAAAGGCATGAGAACCGAGGCCACCGGGTTAATGATCATTAAAACCACATGTTTAGCACCGTTTTCCTCACTCTCATATTCTTTTTTTAGGTAGGTAACCAATAACTGCCCCATGTGGGGCCTGAATCGCTCACCTTCCCTTTGGGAGGAAAGATAATACCACCTTGGTTGATGGCTAGGTGGTACATTGCCTAAATGATTACAAAATAGAGTAACTTTCTGAAAAATATTCCTTTTTTATTTCAATATTTGCAAAACCATCTAATTACCATTACCACCCTAAGATCCGGGCATCACATGAACACCACATAGCGAAAAAGTCCTCGCAGAAGGTAATCGATCTTCACTTATCAAAAATAAATAAATAAGTAAAAAAAGAAAAAAAAAAAAAAAAGAAACATGATTGACCAAAATGCCAATAAGTTTTGCACAAGCTACACGAATTATGAACCATTTAGCTTCAAGAAATTATGTTGTCAATCCTCAAATTCTGCAGATATAATGCTACATGAACCCTGCCTAGAGGGGTCCAAAAATTTACAGTTCTATTTAGAATTTATCAGAAAATTCTGTTGACATGTAATTCTGTTTAAATTTACATGTAATGAAAGACATACGTAACTTGTAATCATCATAGATCACATTAATTTTTTTTTTGATAAATAAAAGAATATTATTAAAAGACGCTTAAGAGGGGAGCGAATCCCAAGGAAATACAAAAGAGCACAAAGGCCTCAAGCCTTCAAAGAGGCCAAAAAATCAACAATTTCCTCCAACGATCTATGATCTCTCCCTGAAACCCAACAAAAAAGAGTGGAAATAATCGAGAATTTAAGCACCGAAATCAACACCGCCTTTCCTTCAAAGTATCTCCTATTCCTGTCAAGCCAAATACACCACCACACACAAAACGGCGTAGCTCTCACGCATCCTGACTGAGAGCCCCCACATGGCAACCTCTCCACATCTCAATCAACTCTCTAGTAGATCCTGGCATAACCCAATAAAACCCAAATAAGCCAAGCATCAAATCCCAACACTCTCTAGCCAAAGAGCATGAATAAGAAGGTGATCCACAAATTCCTCATCACGAAGACATATATAACAATGATTGACCACCACCTGGCTTCTCCTTCTGAAATTATCCTGGGTTAAGATCCTACCCAGAACCGAAGTCCACACAAAGAAAGCTACTTTGAGAGGAGCCTTAGAACACCAAACAGACTTCCAAGGAAAACGAACTCCAGGATCAAAAGAGAGGCACTTGAAGAAAGACCTCACCTCAAAACGCCCCTTGGAGTTTGCGACCCAAGACCAACAATCCGAATCCTCCACCACAATCCTCTGGCGATATATCATTTACACATGTTTTCTTTGTTCATTCTAAAGGGTCTAGTTATTTTGCAGACAACTTTAAGTTCACAGTTCACCAAGTATCCTATAATGAGTTCAGCACCAGCATTTTTCTTATTTACCTCAACATAGTCCAAAAAGCATGAAGGCCATTATCAAATGCTATTTCTACTTATACTGGTGCTAGGAGGAGAATACTAGAAACAAAACTAACTTTTGGCACATTATTATTTTACACAAGTAGCTACACTTAGATTCAAATATTGTGATCACAATAGTCAGCTTGAGGTTTTACCATTGTAGCATACAATGGCCCCTATACTTGGAAAATCATTAATAAGAAGGCCTTAAATTATGTTTCTAATTATGCCGGCGCTCTCAAAATCATCTCCTCATTTCATCTATATTCCGCTCTTTTCCCAGGCTCTTCAGGATTGCCATTGATAGACATGCCTTGGATTGCCATTGATAGACATGCCTTGGTTGCCGACTGTTATCGGCTTGATAGTGGAAGGATTACATGGGATGTGCGATTTCGGCGACATTTCCAAGATTGGGAGATGGATGATGTGTATGGACTTTTGAATCTTTCGTATAGGCAGGAGCTGGACGACAGAGGCCCCGACTCCAAGTGTTGGGTGCCTTCTTCTCAGGGAAGGTTTGAGGTTCGTTCTTTGTTCCTTTGTCTTTCCGGCTTCTTCGGGTCTAACTTCCCTTGGAAGACAGTGTGGCACTCAAAGGCTCATCTCAAAGTGGCTTTTTTTGTTTGGACTGCAGTTTGGGGCAAGATTATGACGATGGATAATCTAAGAAGGAGAAGACAGGTTAATTGGTGTTGTATGTGTAATAGGGACGGGGAGTCGGTGGATCATCTTCTCTTGCATTGCCCTGTGGCTTACGACCGTTGGAGCCTTATTTTTGGTTTGTTCGGCATCCATTGGGTCATGCCTCGACCTTCAAGGAGCTTGTTTGACGCTTGGAAAGGCTGTCTTGTGGGAGCCCATGCTCGGGATTTTTGGTGGTTGGTTCCGTTTTGTGTTTGGTGGTGTGTTTGGAAGGAGTGGAATATAAGATCTTTCGCCAGAGAGGAATCTTCCATTGGGACTTCGAAATTTCATATTATTAGTTCTTTTTTTAGTTGGGTTACGGGGAGAAATAGTAAATCTATAGAGGAGATTGTTGAGTTTTTGGGTTCCTTGGGTCCGTAGGACTTTTTCTTTGGCTTCGGCCTTGTATAGTGCCCGGTGTTGATCATAAGGGTTTATTCAAGGACAATCTAGATGTTTTGATGATAACAAACCATTAATTGTATTTAAGGACTAATGTTTACATTGAGTGTTATATAGATTATTCACATTCAAAGAATGACCTTAATGAAACTATAAAGATCATTCCAAGTATTCCATTATTCAAGATCACATCAATGAAAGAAATGGATACAAAGAAGAGTTGAAATTGCAAGAAACCATATGCAAAGTCCATCCAAAGATAGCTTGGACTACAATGAGCAAAAAAGCAACTCAAAGGAAGGAAGAAAGAATGAATACCTCAAAGCCTAAAGATCATTGACAAAACATGAAGAAAGGGGTAGATAGGATGGTGAGTGTTTAGGATTCAATGTCAAAATATTTATGAATCCATTTGAAGCTCGTCTCTATACGACCATGCATATCATATCATCATCCACATGCTCCTATATACATTAGCAATAGACCATGCACTTTATTCACATATAATTGACATATGAAATCTTTGCTAAAGAATGAGTTAGTTCAAGCTTGTATAAGCTTTGAAAGAACTCAACACTTAAGCTAAAATGCTAGGACCATGCACATCAATTACATCATTCACTTTAGTCTATAGAAAGTAGAGTCTAAGGCTTAGAACTTAATTACTCATCTCTAAAGCCTCAGTAAAGGACATTAGGACCCTAGTATGCACTTGATGAAAAGCTGTCTTTCTGGCTAAGTATGAAAAATGGCTAAGTATGAAAAATGGATTTTTGAAATAATAGTTATTTCAAAATAATTTTTCCCGGTAATTACTCCTTACACTTCAAATAGCCTAAACTAATTTTATGCGATTTTTCATCAATTCTACATAAGGATTCATTTTTACGAAAACTGTCGGAAATCCAAATTTGTACTAAAACAGAATTTTCACATTTTGATTTAGTTGGATTTCAATTTTCTTATATTTTTTATTGAATCCAAATGGGAGGTACTTCCTTATTTACATTGTAAACTTAAAGTAAATGGACATATAAATATTGTATGGACATTTACTTTAATGTTTTCAATATAAATAAGCTGTGTGCAGATGTCCTGCACTAAAAGTCCTATGCATAAGCTATCATCTGTCAAAACTGTCATTGCACTAGGTTTCACGTCGACCGGTTCTAACTTCACGTCGACCGGTATCTAGGCAGTACTGAATTTCAGGAACATAACTTTCACATCGACCGATTTGTACAGACGTCGACCAGTTTCTACTACGCATCGACTAGTTCCTGTCGAATCTGCAGATTTCAAACTGCAACGGCTCTTTGACCCTTTGACTTCATGGGACTTTACCATTATGCCCCCAAACGGCTATATTCTTCAATGGGGCTATAAATACACAATGTTTGGACATTGTAGGTATGCAAAAGAGCCAACAATTGAGAGACCTCATTAGGCATCAAAGAGAGCTTTTGTTCTCACATTTTCTCTTCATCTCTCTCATTCATTCATATACTATACTTGAGAGATTCAACCAAGGATTCAAAGAGCTTTTGCTCTATTCTATACTTGAAAGATCCTATTGAGTTCATAAGAGATTTTATTCTTCACTTATATCATCCTCTCTCATTCATATCATTCATAGAGTTTAAGCTTCACTTATATTCATCAGTACTCTAATTGTGAGCTAAAATTTTTACATCTATCTTTGACAGATTTCTTGTACTTCATTGTTCTTGTTACTATCTATTGTAAGGGTTGGTTTGACCCATCGGGTTGGTGTGACCCAAAGGAAGACTAAGGGAAGGTTGTTCTCTTAGCAAGGTGAAGCAAGGAGTTGCTTTATGTAAAGGTTTGCTCTCCACCCATAAGCAGAAGCCATAGTGGATTGGGAAGTCTCAAGAAGAGTCTTGAGCCGAGGAGTAGGAGTTTCCGAACCTCACAAAAACTGCCGTGTTATAGTTTGCAATTTCTCTTCCCTTATCTCTCTTATAATTGTGCTATTTAGTTACTTATTTCATATCTTTATAATTGCACAATTGTGTTAAGTACTTTGCTTGAAATTGCTTTTCTATATTGCGAAAATTGTCCATTGTTTGTCATTGACTCTATTCACCCTCCCTCTAGAGTCAATACTTGGGTAACACCCGGGATGCGTTCCCCTTTTGAATGCTTTCTAATATACTCTTATTTATCTCAAAAAAAAAAAAAAAAAAAAAAACCCTCGACTAAAACTTTCTTTTCCCAGGCAAAGGAAACAAGATCCTGCAACAAAATTTAGTACCACGTTGGTCCAAGAATATCCTAATGAAGTGTACCACTGTGCCCACTGTTCTAAATTGTTGCAGAGATTTTTCTGGTTAACATAAGTAAATTAAGCCATTACATTCATTCAATAAGCCAAAAGAACATGTGAATCCAACTCATAGCAATAAAAGTAAACAATTCTTCATCATAGTCTCACTAACTTAAATAATTATAGGCAATTATTGCAAGTTAATTCACAGAAAAACTTGTACTAAAATGTCCTACAACTGAATCATGAATTTGACAGATTTTACTCACAACTTTTCAAAGCTCTCAGGAATTTGGAGATTTAATGAAAATAGGAACGAAGATCGTCTCGCTTTTGAAGAATGCACCAAATATTTTGCTTCTTCCAACGGAGATGGCCAATACTCCATTCCCCTTCGCTTAGTGATCCATAAACATGATCCAGCTTTACTCTCATCACTGATAAGCTGAAAAGCCCCTGAAAAAATAATGATTAGACCATCCAAATTAGATAATATAGGTTCAGGTTGACTGACAATAAATATTTAATTGAAGTTTCACTAAAATCATGAAATATTAGTTGAAGTATGAAATTCGGGCTGCTAGACAGGGAGATAAGATTATTTAGAAATTCTATTCACTTATGCTCTCACAGAGCCTTCAGGACCGAGTTCAAATGAGTTGTAATATACATACAGAGAAGAACAGAGATTAGCTTAGGTTTTAATAGCTTTTAGAGATGACTTTGAGGGTCTTCGTAGCTCTATTCTTCATCTTAGTCCACTTCTTTCCTTTGATTCGGTGGTTAATGAAATGTTGGCTGAAGAAGTTTGTCTCAAAGCTGCCCCAGGAAAAAGACTTTTCCCGTTACCTAGTCAGACTGTCATAGTTGTCCCATCTAAGCCTCATGCTAGTACACAGAGCAGGCAACGTGCTAGAATTGGTATTGGTGAGTGTAGCTTTGGTCGATGGAAGGGTCACTGGAAGGCTTAGTGCCCTAAATTAATAAATAAAGCAATTCATGTACAACAACAGCAATCTTCAAAGAAAAAGGATCACTACACTCAGCACTTGCACCATCAAGGGATGTGTCATCTTCACCCACTCTCACATTGTCTTTGATTACTGAGCAGTTGCAGAAGCTTCTTTCCACCAATCAACCGAATGCTCTTACAGTCTCTCCCTTTGTAGGTTTGTCTTCTTCAACTTCTTCAGGTATATCTCGGACAACATGGGTTTTTGACTAAGGTGCCACGCACCATATGACAAGCATTTTTCTTTGTTCATATCGACTTTCTCTCCTCCATCATCTATTTCAATTTTGGTTGTCAAATAATTAATAGTATCTCTAGTCAGATTGAGGCAGTCAATAGCGTCTTGAAAAGTGCTTAGTCAAAGACTATTAAATAGTAATAATGGTATGAGAAGTCTGAAAATGTCATGGGAATAGTAGGAGTTGTCTATAATGCTCTTTGGATAGCCTAAAAGCAAGTCTAGGAAAAAGTTAGTGTTAATAATTTTGAGAAATTTTCAGAGTATAAACAGTTCTTCAGGCTTTTCCCAGCTTTCCCTTTAGAAATCTAGGCTCCAACAGTGATTGGAGTAACCCTACTCTTTCTTACTGTTGTAAGAAGACTTCTGTGTGTTTGTGTGACTTGTCTTTTTCTGTTTGCTTCAATAGCACACCATGTCATCGGCTGGGGTTGGGACAATTATTTCTCTTCATTGGTCTCTTTCGGGTGTCTTATTGCTTTCTTAAACTTACCTTGAAATTAATTTTTGTTAGTCAATTGTTTGATTCTGGATATTATATTCATTTCTCATCGACCAGTTGTGTTGCAGGATCCTCATTCCAGAAAGTTGACTGGGACAATCCAAAGAGAGGGTGGATTGTAAAGGAGCTCCTTGTTCCAGCTATAGTGGCTTCCTCTGTTGACTTGTCTTCTTTTCTCTTGAGTCCTCAGTCATCTACCTTTTATTCCTGGCATTCCTGTATTGGACATATTTCAAGTTCTTGTTTGCAGTATTTAGTCTCTACTGGTGTTCTGCATAACTTGCATAGTCTTACTTCTATGGCACCCTTTATGTGTAAGTGGAGCTCCATGTTCCAGCTATAGCTGCTTCCTCTGTTGACTTGTCTTCTTTTCGCCCGAGCACTCAGTCATCTACTTTTTATCTAAAGCATTCTTGTATTGGACATATATATATATATATATATATATATATATATATATATAATATTACATATATATATATCCGGTTTAGTGTTCTGGTTCATAATTCAGATTTGTGAAGTTTTTTTTTTTTTTTTTTTTTCCCCTAAATAGATACGTCGAGTTTTCTAATTAGGGACCGGTTCGGGTTGGGCTTCAAGTTGCCCTACACAATAAGCGTGGTCCAAAATGAAATCGGGTTCTTACTTTTCAACCCAAGCCCGGATAGAAATGCAATTTACACAGCCCAAGCCCGAAAATTTTCAGGCTGAGCTTGGGTTCGTCTCACCCAAGTTGCAGTCCCATACTAAAGAATAGAAAAAAATAGATTGTGCATACAATTTTTCAATTGTACAATTGAAAAGATGAGAACACAAAAAGTAAATAAAGCCCAAAGGCTAAGGGCCTGTTTGATATCACTATTCAGCGCTTAACATAGAACACGGTAAGCAAATTTTTAAAATTAGTGTGTTTGATAACATTTAGGTTACCACTTAAAATATTAAACAAGCCAAAATTTTAAGCGACACGGAACTTGCTTAACGCTTATCGTAGAAGACGGTAAGTGATTTTAGGCTTTAAAATATTTTGTTAATGACAATGTTACCCTCAAATATTATATTTTTAGGTTCTCCATCACTTGTTCTACTCTTGAAATTAAACGTATTGATGCTACTCTTGAAATTAAATGTATTGATGGACTTTCTATTTCCACTTTGCATTTCTATTCCCTTCCGATGGAGTTTTACTTTTAGTTTACTCAATTTCTCAAATGTTTCACTGTACTTTTCTTCTCAAATAATGTAAATATAAATAATATTCAACAAAATATAAATAAATAAATATATATATATATATACATATATATACTCTGCATGGTTCACTTAAGTTTATAAACAACAATCATGTAATGAAACCCTAACACCATTGTTATGGTGCAATTTTACTATATAAATAAAAATCGAATGATTTGTGTATGAATCCTAATCTCCTTCTCATAAATATTTCATTTTCATAAGTTATTCATTTTACATGTTGATTTTGAAATTTTTATGATAAGTTTTGACATTAATATCCATTGTTAAATTGATATATTTCTTTGGTGAAATTCATTATTTTACATATATGTTTATGTTTTAATATGGTATCTTTTATAATAATATTATGTGTAGAAGATATTCAAGGCAAAAATGTAATACATACAACATTCAGATTTCAGCTTTTGCATTAAACAATCTTAACGAATTCATCGCTTAAAATTAATACTATATCAAACAAGTTTACAAGTTAATATATTCAGCACTTAAAATTTCAGCGCTTAAAATTCAGTACTTGAAATTTTCAGTGCTTAATTTTCAGTTTTATCAAACAACACCTAACTAACTAAAAGAAAACGAAAATACACTACTACCCTTAAACATAAATAAGAAATATCTCTAACACAGACTAAGGGCAGACCTTAAATGGATCTAACAATCGAAGTGCCCTGTCCTTTTATCATTATTATTTTTGTTAAGGAAAGTTCCAAAAACAAGTTTATGCACTTGAAAAGGAATTTTTTAAAATCAAAACATGAAATGTCTGAAACCCTAATTGAATGAATGCGTAAAAACATGAACCCATTAAGGTGAGCGCGTATGAGTGTTGGATTTATCTTATTGCCCTTGATTGTAGCTTTAATTTCCAAATATACCGTTGGATAAGGTGTAACCACCTAACTTTTAAATCAACTATGTAAAAGTTAAAATAAAAGTATATATTCAAACTTTTGTAACGAAATTAGACAATCGAGGTCCTATTGACCTGATAGAATGTTAACAACCATCTACTCCAAAAACTTAAGCTGTTAGAGAAGGTGTAACTTTAATATTAAAATCCTTCAACACACCCCCTCATGTGTGGCCTTCTTTTGGTCCAACACATGTTTTTCAATTTTTAATTAGGGTGACCATGAGGTTTGACCTCGAGACCTTTGGCTCTGATACCATGTTAACAACCATCTACTCCAAAAGCTTGAGCTGTTAGAGAGGTTGAAACTTTAATATTAAAATCCTCCAACATAGAACGCGACCAAGTGAAACTTACTGAATTGGAGTTCCATTTTCAATTCAAACTCTCTTAACCCAATTCCTATGCCAATGACACACTCGGTGTTAAAGAGACCATGTTGATTCGATGGAGACTACTCGGTGAGCTTTCTAAATGGTTAGAAATACATGTGGGCTTAGAGATACACAAATACAAGATTCTGCCCATGTATGCAGGAACTTGGAGTGCAACTTGCTTGACAAAGATGTTAGTGCATGTACATATATGACCCACAATTTTTGAAATACTTCTTTCACAAACATGAAACAACAACTTTATATATATATATATATATATAGATGCAATAAGATAGATATCGTTAATACAACTCAGAGTGAACTTTTCCTTAATTAGGGGCATGATTACTGCTTTCATATTTTACACATGATGTATTTACCCAGACACACAATAGGTCCAGATTCATTTCTTGCACTGCATTCACCTACTACCTTCACCTAACAATTTCCTTATTTTATGTTGTTGAGAACATTATATATACCCATTGAAATCATCCTTTGGTATACGAAATAATATACAGTCAATTCTTCTCTCTCTAAAATTTAGCTTTCAACTTTCTACAATAGACATTGCTGTATAAAGGCCTTGCCAAAAAAAATGTAGAATAAAGACTTGAAATAAAAATGTACCTTTCACCACCATTTCCATGGGCACATAGCCCCCCATCAGATTAATAAATTTAGAACCCACTTTCGAGGCCAAATCAGTTTGAACAAACTGCAGGCAGAATAGTAAGTACATCAACAATAACAAAATACTGTTTCCGGCTTTGTGCAGTATCTTAATTGAGAAAAGCAGTAACAGATGCTTCGATTAGCATATAAAAGCTGTGAGTCATGTACAGGAAAACATATTGGAATAAGCTGCTACTAAAAGAGTATCAAATGAAATTGTGTGACTGCTAAACAAGCAAGAATGCCCTTGCATATTATAGTCAATACACGTACATTAAGCTAAAACTTCTAACATATACCAGAAGAAATTATAAGCAAGAAAAGGGGCGTGGAACCACTGTTAAAAGTTAAAAAATATGAGCGTTGCTAACAATACTGTTAGCATATATGATACCACGATTTATGGAATGACTTACCATAATAGCAGAGATTTGACTATGCAATAGAATATGTTGTGATTTGATTTTTTTTTTTTTTTTTATAAGTAAAATTTTATTAAAAACGCTCAAAAGGGGAGCGAAGCCCAGAGAAACAAAAGGAAAACAAAAGGGCCAAAGGGCGCCTTAGACCTTCAGAGAGGCCAAGAAAACAATAATTTCCTCCATAGAACTATAATCTCTCCCTAAAACCCAACAAAAAAGAGTAGAAATGACAGAGAACTTAAGCATAGAAACAGGTTTTTTTTTTCCGTCAAAATATCTCCTATTTCTCTCAAGCCAAATACACCACCAGATACAAAGCGGCGTAACCCTCCAAGCGTCCCTAATGCCAGCCCCAACAGAGACGCCTCTCCAAGCCTCAATCAACCCTCTAGAGGAAGAAGGCATGGCCCAATGGACCCCAAATATCGAAGCATCAAATCCCAACAATCTCTAGCCATGCTGCAATGTAAAAGGAGGTGATCAGTAGATTCCTCATTACATAAACACATGTAACAGTGATTGACCACCATCTGATTCCTCCTCCTCAGATTATCCTGGGTTAAAATCTTACCTAGAACAGAAGTCCAAGCAAAAAAGGCGACCTTGCGGAGAGCCTTGGACCGCCAAATAGACTTCCAAGGGAAAGGATCTCCATGACCAACTGAAAGACATCTGAAAAAGGACCTAACCTCAAAACGGCCATGCGGTTAGGAATCCAGAACCACCAATCCGATTCCCCAAAAGAAATCACTTAGCTATACAACAGCTCCAGAAAACGAGAAACATCCTCGATCTCCCAATCCTGAAAATGCCTCCTGAACTAAACATCCCAAGACAGTCTCCCGTTATCAAGATGATAACAATCAACAACCATGGCCTGTCGATGAGAAGCAATCCTGTAGAGCCGTGAGAACGCTAGAGCAAGAGGGAGTTCCCCACACCAGAGATCCTTCCAAAAACTGATCCTCCTTCCATCTTTAATACGAAAACGAACATGCTTGCAAAAGTCATCCCAACCTCTCCGAATGAAATGCCAAACTCCCACCCCCCTTGGACCACGCATCACCAGAGAGCACCACCCACCACGACTTTCCCCATATTTGCTAGCAATAACTTTCCTCCATAACCAATGCCTCTCGATCCCAAACCTCCAAAGCCATTTACCAAGGAGAGCCTTATTAAAAGGCAACAACCTCCGAAACCCTAAGCCTCCAAACCGAATTAGACGGCACACTTGATCCCACCGAACCAAATGAAACTTGAACTCTTCTCCTTTCCCTCCCCAAAGAAAATTGCACTGCAATCTTTCAATTCTCTCAGCCACTGAAAAAGGAATCTGAAACAGAGATAAGAAGTATGTAGGAAGGCTAGAAAGGGTGCTCTTAATCAGGGTAACCCGACCCCCCTTGGACAGGTACTGCTTTTTCCAACCCGCCAACCTCCTCTCGACTCTGTCCACAACCGGATCCCAGCTCCCCACGCATCTCGAAGGGGCACCCAAAAGTAATCCTAAATAAGAAATGGGAAAAGAGCCAGTGCAACATCCGAGGATCTGAGCAAACAACTCAATTTCTGGAACATCCCCAATAGGCACGAGAAGACTCTTACCAACATTAACCTTAAGGCCAGACACAACTTGAAACCAAATCAGAACGCATCTCAAAAACCTTAGATGGGACGCTTCCGCATCACAAAACACAATAGTGTCATCTGCAAACATCAAATGAGAAACCTTCAATTAACTAGCAGCATCCCTACCCACCCGAAAGCCTCTCAAAGAACCCAACTCCACAGCCCTCTTCAGCAATCTGCTAAGAGCCTCCATCACAAAAAGGAATAGGAAAGGGGAAAGTGGATCCCCTTGTCTAAAGCCCCTCGAGCTAGAGAAGAAACCTATCAGCACTTCATTCACAAGGACAGAGAAACGAGCGCTAGAGATGCAAAAAAGAATCCATCTCCTCCACCGCCCACCAAAACCCATCCTCTCTAAAAGGTAGAGAAGGAAACTCCAGCTCACATGATCGTATGCCTTTTCAATATCTAGCTTGCAAAGAACACCCAGAACACCACTGCTCAAGCGGGAATATGAGCATGTACTCTTTTTATCTATAAATATTAGAGCTTTGAATGAGTAATTCATCTCATCAAGTCTTTACATAATTCTCTCCTTTTTCTTCTTTTTATATTTCTACTTGGTATCAGAGCCAACACCTTTCCACACCTTTCAGCAGCCTTGCTACTTGTGCGACAGCCACCTTAGGCTGTTTGTGACATCGTGTGACGTTGCCTACACATGTTTTTCTGTGTTGCTGTTTTGTGATAAAAAAAAACAGGTATTTTTAAGTTTTAGAATTTCTTTTTAACTCTTCTAGGGTTGGGTAAATTGGGATAGTTGATCTCCAACACCTAGAAAGGCTTGGGTAAAAAAAAAATTAGTCTACAAAGAGGTTTCGGATATTAAGAAGGAGACTGTCTGGCTATATGTAAGCGGGCAACGCTCCTTAAAAAAGGTATGTATTTGGATTTTTCGAGAATGGTCTGAGGAGACATTGTTATTGTTTATGGTCTGAGGAGACCGTTTGACTTATTAACAGAATTTGTGATGTTTTTGGAGTTTTTTTATTGTCGTGTGACAGATTATGGCAAATTTAGGGTCCTTGACCGTTAATTCTCTTGGCTCAAGTTCTGTGGGTGGTGGTGCCATTTTTCCCACCAAACACATAAGAAAATCCAGGACTTCAAATCACCACAGTGAAGTTGGATGGTTCCAACTATTTGATTTGGGCACAGTCTGCCAAGATGTTCATTGGTGGCAAAGGCAAGATTGGCTATATTACTCGTTCTGAGAAAGAGCCAGTTAATTCAGAGATGGCATATCCACAGTGGTTTGTAGATAACGCTATGGTTATGTCTTGGCTAGTCAATTCGATGCAACCAAACATAGATGTTGGCTATATGTTTATGAAGACTGCTAAGAAGATTTGGGATTCAGTTCAACGCACTTATTCTCAGAGGCAGAATAATGCACGAATTTTTCAGCTGGGGCGAGATATCACCAAGATTTTTCAGGGTGACTTGAGAGTTCCAAGTTACATCACCAAGCTTCGTGCTATTTGGGAGGAGATGTCATATTATGATTCCTTCCACTCTTAGAAGGATCCAGATGATGCAATTTTATATGCAGGGATTGTGGAGAAGAATTGAGTGTTTCAGTTTCTTGCCGGGTTGAACGACGAGTTTGAGTATGCTCGTGTTCATTTATTGGGCTTATCTTCATTCCCTACTCCTGAGGATGCATACTCTATATGTTGTCAGATGAGAGCCGTCAGACTCATCCATTAGGTGTGGCTTCTATTGATCGTTTTGCTATGGCAGTTCGAGTTCCCAACCTTTCAAGAACTGCACCATCCCAGTCAGTTCAGAGCTCTACCATCGGTCCTCCTCTGGGACGACAACGTAAACGATGTGACCATTGCGGAAAAATTGGTCACATCAAATCTCGATGTTATGCTCTACATGGACGCCCACCGCAACAGAAACAACTGCCTCGATCCTTTGCACATTCTGTTTCACAACCAGTCTCGTTGTCAACTCCTGACAACTCTGTCTCTACATCTTATGCCACAGTTACCTTGACTCAAGCTGATTTGGACAAATTTAAGAAATTCTTCAACCAAATGGAGGCATTATCTCAGCCAACCTTCACTTATGCCCACTCAGGTACTATTGCGTCTACATATAGCGTATCTACATCTTCGACACCATGGATCATTAATTTTGGTGCTTCAGACCATATGACTAGTATGTCCTCACTCTTCCAATCTTATCGTATCTACTCTGGCTATCGCAAGGTATGCCTTGCGGATGGCTCTCCATCTTCCATTGCTGGAAAGGGTCACATATTAGTTACTCCATTAACTTTGTCAGATACAATTCATGTTCCACAGTGGACTACAAATCTTATTTTTGCTAGTAGCGTTACCAAACAATTAAATTGTAGTGTTACGTTCTTTCCATCTCATTGTATTTTTCAGCCTCTGGTATCGAAACGGACGATTGGCAATGGGCGTGAAGTGGACGGTCTATACTTGTTGGATGCTCCTTTGTCACCTCAAACACATTCGGCTTCATTTTCTAATATTGTTTCATTTAATAAAGCCCAGCTTATGCGTTGGCACATGCGTTTAAGACATATTTCTTTCGGTTATTTAAAACATTTATTTCCTTCCTTATTTTGTAACGTGGCAGTGTCAGATTTATCCTGTGACACATGTCATATGGCTAAACATGTTCATTCCAATTATCTTGCTAGTAGTAATAAATCTGCTTTAACACATTTTGATCTTGTTCATTTAGATGTGTGGGGTCTTTGCCCAGTTACTTCTAGTCTTGGATTTCGATATTTCATGTTGTTCATTGATGATCATAGTCGTGTTACATGGGTTTATCTTATGAAAACCAAAAATGAGGTATACACCATTTTTAAAATTTTTATAACAATGGTTCATACTCAATATGGTCGTACCATTAAAAAATTCAGATCTGACCAAGGTACAAAGTACACTTATGGGGAGGTACAACGGTTATGTACCGAATTTGGGATTGAGCATCAGATGGCTAA